GGACATTTCTCCTGGCGCATTTATCTTTTTGTTTTCTCTTCCACCGTCTTGAAAACAGAAGATTGACTTCTAAGGGATTTGAACCCAACAGCTTCTAGTTTGGAAGTCAACGCTTTAACATTCATGACACAGGATCTGTCACACTCTAGACTTTTCTCCGGGCGCATTTATCTTTTTGTTTTCTCTTCCACCTAGTCAAAACAGAACATAAACTTCTCAAGGGTTTGAACCCACGAGCTTCTAGTTTGGAAGTCAACACTTTAACATCCATGACAAAGAATCTGTCACACTCCAGACTTTTCTCCGGGCGCATTTATCTTTTTGTTTTCTCTTCCACCTAGTCAAAACAGAACATCAACTTCTCAAGAGTTTGATACCACAAGCTTCTAGTTTGGAAGTCAATGCTTTAACATCCATGACTTGTTTTATCCTACAGTTATTAGATAAAGGCAAAAACTACTATAAGATTTGAACCCGTGAGATTCCAGTTTGGGGGTGCTGCTGAAGGTTGCAGGTTTGATTCCCGGCACGGGGTCTTTCTGCATGGAGTTTGCATGTTCTCCCTGAGCATATGTGGGTTCTCTCTGGGTACTCCAGCTTCAAGTCCAAAAGCATGACTGTTAGGTCCATTGGCTTCTCTAAATTCTCCTTAGGTGTGTGCGTGAATGTTGTTTGTCTCTGTGTTGCCCTCTGATGCTGGTGACCTTTCCAGGGTAGACCCTGCCTCTCGCCTGTAGATGGCTGGAGATAGGCACCAGCACCCTGCTTGGGATAAGTGTGAAGGAAGGTGGATGGATGGGATACTTGTTCTATCTGCTGATATATATCTAAAATAAATATAAGAAAACCTCAGCAGAAGGAGGATGATTGGTTTGTTTTTCTGTGAGTAAGTGAAGGATCTCATCTTGATCCCTTTCAGAAGTTTTTGACGGACCTAAAGTAAAAAGGAAACTGCTTTCATTCATAAGACTTGGAATCCTGAGGTTCTGAGTTTTGAGCACCACTCCCACAGACTGCCACTCTGGGTCTCCGAAGAAGACCCTTAACCCCACACTGCTCCCGGGGGCCGCACAATGGCAGCTCACTGCTCCTCAAGGGGATGTGTTAAATGTTGAGGGTAATTTCTCCCATGTTAGATCAATAAGGTTCAATTATCATTATCAATGCATTTATTTTCAATAAGACATGGAATGGTGCAGTTCTAAAGTACATCCACTAGATGTCACTAAAGTCTAATCACTAGGCTGGTTTTAGATACTTCAGATAGTTTTAACCTCTCAGATGTGAAATATTGGATCTTCTTTGACTAAATTTACATGAAATCAAATATATTTTCCCCAGTTTATCATTTAAGCTCAAGTCCAAGGCATTGATTTCCCTCAAAAAAAAAGCAACAAAAAACTGAAATGTTTTGTTCATCACACTGGTTTTATCACTGCTGCTTACCTGCACTTTAAAAAATGAAATAGTCTCGAGAACTGTACTTAACAAAATTCACAAAATGTCTTTTTGTTTACACTTGTGTGTACAAAATTACAAAATAAAGTCTAAGTCAAAGAGGCTAATCAGCCACTGATGCCTCAGAGACTTCAGTTAGGCCTTTTTTCACTCATAAAAAACCAGAACCACAGACAGTGACCACAGAACCTCTACAAACACTCGTACAGGACCCTAAAAAGAAAAAAAGGAAGCAGCTTATTGTGTTTCCATAGGCAAGCAGACATGTTGGGGGGGGACTGAAGGAACAATGTGGCTGCAAGATGTTAGTTGGCTCCCCAGCAGCTGACATGCCTCACGCATGCTTGCTCTTGTTCTCTCAGCAAAACGAGGATGTGGGACATCTGGAAGCGGTCAGGAGGCAACGCGGAGCTGCATCCCCTCCCGTGGCCATTTCTCACGCCGCTGAAATCAAAGCAGGAGGCAGATAATGTCCTGCTGCTTTCAGAGGAGGCAGGACAAGAAGGGACCATCCTGGAAGAGATGGCAGACAGTCTGAAATGATAAAAACAACGAGAAAAGTGCAGAGAAAACACCTAAAACTGTCTATTCTGTTCCTCCTGTTTGATTGATGAAGTTACATCATCTAAAATATCAGAAAACAAACAGCTTCAAATGTTGATAAATCATCTTAACGCTCTACATTCCCACAACACATGGTAAAATGAGCAGTGGTGCAAAGTGGCTGGGATTAATTAGATCTTCATTATAGAAAGGCTTAAACATTCATTTCATATTACCTTTAAAGACAAGATAATGGAGCCGATGTGTGAGAAACATTTCCAAAAATATGCATAAAAACAATTGTAAATAAGACAAGAAGCCCATAATCAATACATTTTTTAATTTTCAAATGAAAGCAGAAACAGTCACTCATGATTACTGTTTTTTAAACAACTCTACATGTTTTAATGAATATGACATATTTAATACTTAACTGCTATAAAGCAAGCTAATATATGCATGGTTATATGTTAACCATATGTAATTATGCTAATTTAATTAAGATTAAATTTGCTTCTCATTCCATCAATTACATTTGAAACAAACATCAATGATAAACTATGATAGTTTGGTTTTAATCTGTTGTTTCTTCAGCTTTAGGTTTCAGGGATCAGAAAGCTGAACCTGCAGAACTTTCTCACAGATTTGCGATGAAAAGGCGAGCGAAGAACACCTGCTGCTGCGCTGTGGTCTTTTATTTAGTGGAAAGGTATGTGGTTTTCTCCTCACTGTGGCCTCCAGCACCTGATTGTTACCCCGGTCAGCAGGTTAACCACCCCCCCCTGCAGGGACATCAGCTCAGTCACAAACCGCCTGCAGTCACATGAAGAGCTCAGGGATGATTTCTAATTATCTCATAAATAGTTTAAGTTTGGAAACTCCGGCATTCTTCATGCTTTCTACTAAAACTCTCCTAAAATTTGATTTAAAGAACAAAAACCAACCAGTGTGATCCCTTTTAAATTCTTTTAGTAAAATTATTCCTGCTGACAAACTCCTCTGGTTCTGGTTTCTCACAACCACAAATATTTTCAAACTGTTCCAGTTTTCTTTCATACAATCAAAATACAGGTTGAGTCAAGTTAAATCAGCCAGCTGCCCAGCAGTGTGCAGCCACTGGTCTGAGTCAGGCAGAGGAAACACTTATTCTGTATTTTTAAATCAGTTTTGAGGAGTTATAGCTGTTTTTATTTATTTTTATATTAGTATTTTACGTTGTAGCATGCTTACTGTTGTGTTTTTTTAGGAAGACAATTTTAAGATCTGTCCAGGGACAGCAGATGAAAAATAGCCTTTTGCAGGAATGCTTTTTAATGTACACTGTCCCTGTCAAATAAATAAATAAAATAAAAATAAAAACCCTGATCGCTCAGACACTTTGTAAGCTGATATAAAGCAGTTCAATGCATAAAGACTAGTGTTGCACCTATGCCATTTTTTGGCCCCCGATACCTGGCTGTGAGTATTGGCTGATACCATCTGTTTGAAATTGATCTGTGTGTGTATATATGAAGAACTGCAAACTACTTGGATGTAAAATAATTGCCATCCTGGCTTTGTCAAGCTGATACCTACCTTTGTGAAGCAGGGGAAAAAAAAGACTAATACAAAATGAATCCAGTATAACTTTTTATTGCCTACCTGCTATCAGTTCAACACTAATAAAGACACTAAAATATCAGTATAGTTGAC